CCGCTGTTCCTGGCTGCTGGAGTGGTCCCTTTGGGAAACAGGTTCAATGTAACAAGTTAGAAAGGTCTTGAAGCTGCGTCCTCATCCTCGGTTCAATACAGGGCAAATGCATGCCATGGTGGCAACTGCTTACCCGGCTGCATGGAGTCAGGCTGGAAGAGGGAGTGATCCCCCCTCCCCATGAGCATCAGTAGGCATGCACTCTCTGAGCAGTATCCTTACCAGGGAGGCAGATAGAGTAATTTAAACAAACAAGGCCCCAGTGATGGAAATTTCAAGCTCAAAGCTACCATATGGAGAGAAATCATCTGACCACAATTTACCTGTTAGACTTCAAAAGTGTCTAGGTCTCCTCTAAAGAAAAGCAGCCTTTTCCTTAATGAAGTTAAGTACTGTATTTCAGCACCGTGTGTTGTGAAAAGGAAGCAATTTGGATTCATTTACTGAAATTTACCTTTCAGATGCAGTTAAGTGAAATTAAAAGTTTGTCTGAGTTGACAGAGTTCTGTTTTCCATCACTGCATTGTCTTGAAAGAAAGGATAACAGGCTAAGTGCTTAAATTCCATCCAAACTGATAAGGTTCACTCTGTACAGGCACACTCAGTGCAGTTTATTACACATTGTCTCCCTTCATCCATCACTGGTATAACTTTTTTTTTCTGGTCTAAAATAACTGTTTCTTCTACAAGAAATTGATATTTGTGATGTTATTGCATTCATCTGGGGTTGAATAGTCAGCACTGGCCTATCAGAGAAATGCCGTTTCCAATTACAGGGGGGAATTAATTTCATTTTCACTAATGGCAGGTTTTGCAGAGCCAACCTTACATCTGGGACAAGAATTTCTCTCTTCTGATCACAATTTTTTTCCTTTAGTTTCTTTACTGTACAAACGAAGTATCTGTGTGTCCTCAGTGTCTTTCCAAACACCATCTTCACCCAGGTCTCTTCCCCAGGAGTGGGAATGAAGCTCTGAAATTGCCCATTAGATCCTCTCTAATTCTTTCTTCCCGCCACTGTATTTCTCTCTTTCACATCTCCAGCTGCCGTTGCTCCTTCCAAACCTCACACCTCCCAAAACACCATCCCAGCTACTAACTCCCCTCTCTCTCTTTTTCCAAGAACTTTCCTCCCAACCTGCCTTAGGGCTCCAGGAACTATAACTCTCCCCCCCAACAGAGAGGTTCTCTGTTCTCTTGGGCTGGTCTTCTTCATAGCCTTAAACCATTTACCTGCTAGAACAAAGGTGTGATCCTGATCTGGCCTTCACTGACTTCTCTGAAACGTCACAGACCTTTCTCTGCTCTTTCAATTAACTGAGAAGCTCATCATGAAAAGCCAGTGAATGATCTGTAATTAATTATTTATATTACAAGGGGAAGCTTAGCTAACACAGTGTCAACAGGAACAATAACACACTCTATGCCAAACTGCAGCCTTCCAGCCCAAGGGTTTTGCCTCCCCTCCCTGCTGCCCCAGCTGGCTTTTGGCTATGGGAGCTAGTTAGGGTTTAAATTTTGTCTAAGTTCGAATTCCTCCCTAAGACGGATTTCAGATATGCACATTTCTGCAAAATCAAGCAGTTAAGGAAAAAATCTCACTACCTGAAATCTCCATTTAATTTTGATTCTTGACAAACAATTTCAAACCCAAACTGCAGCCAGGCAGGACTTGGTCGTTTTGTTTAGATATTGGGGGAAGGAGGCAGAAGGAAAAGGAAACCACACATTTCATCAGCATTTTTTATTTTTTAATAGCTTTCAGTGTAGCCGATTACCCAGGAGATCAGCAAATCTTGGCTCTGTCAAAGACAGGGAGAAGACAGAGCAGAAGCTTTCTCATCCTCCACAGTGTTACTAACCCTCCAACACACAAATCTAAACACCGTCCACTCAGGAGTGCCAACTCAAATGCCTCAGCTGTTAAGACAGAACAAAAAGGAAAGGACAATCTCCAAGGTACAACTGAAAGTAAATACTAATAATGATGTGTGACATTAAATGATGACTCATTTTTCACGAGGCCATTTCACATTGTAGCTATAACCTCAGATCAGACCCGAACGACTGTGTGAGCTGAAGTCTTAGTGGAATCATTAATTATGGATTTCCTGGCTTTTATAGGTTGGAGTCAGACCTTTGATGTTCCTTTAAGATTGTTCTCCTGTGTTCATTTCCTTTGTTTCTATGTTGGTAGCTTAAAAAAACACCCCAAGATTTCCATGGAAGTGTATAAGACAACCTAGAAATGCGTAGTCCATAAAAGCCCTGCAATTCATGGCTCATAAAGTCCTCTAATCCACGGTCAATAAAGCTTTGGAAAAGAGCTGTATGAACCACAGTCGTTTCAGTTCAGCGAGGTTCATGCAAGAATCAATAATGTGGTTTAAATTCGCCTGGATTTGTCCTCCACCTGTATATTTTTCTTTGACTTTTCAGGTTGAAAGGTGGCTCAGCTGAATTCTGGAGATCTCGCACAGAAACAATGAGTTTTATGCAGCTTTCACCCCAAAGCCGTAACAATGACCTAAACCTCTCCACTTGGTCTCAGAGGTGAACGAGTCAAGTTTCAGGTGACAAGAAGTGAGTTAGGAAACTCAAACTGGAAGAACCATTTAGAAATACAGGGCCATAGCTCAAGGTAATACTATATGCAGACACCTCAGTCCAGAGTGTCAACTTCTAGTACACTAATTATCCTCCAAAAATGAATGCTAACAGTCTCCCTGTGGAGTGCTGGAGAACATTATTGAGGCAACACAATATAAGTTCACATACTTCTCTCCTGCACAGGTAAGACTCCATGGCCCATACTATTAGCCATCCTAGCTATTTCTTTCCAGGAATGATCACACTACAAAGTCTGGTGACAGGCACACTTTTCTGCTCTTTCCTTGCCAATCAGAAAGGAACCAGTTAGAGGGAACTCACTGTTTATTGCCTTGTGCAAGGTCCAGCTTGCAATTAATGCTGATGAAACACAACTGCCAAAAGCACAATATGCAGCAGCTGGTTTATGAAAGTTGAGACCCCATCCAATTTATGGGGAAACCAGAGCTAGTTGTGACTCTCTGACTTAGCCGAACAGTTTGTATTTTTTGTTTTGTTTTGTTTTGTTTCCAGGAAAACACCAGAAGTTACTCCAGAACTGTAGAAGTAGTAAAACCGTCTGAAAGCACTAAGGCAGACTTCCCTTCTTCCAGCCTTTTCTCATTTCTAGGGCTGTGATCTCCGCTAATATCTCCGTGGGATCTTTCAGCAAGGCAGGCGACACACAGAGTCTGCTTCATCACCAGCTTGGTGGGAGCGGAAACTTATGTTTCCTTATCCCAATCTCCATCCTTGTGAAATGGAAGCAGAGGGATAAAAGGTTTTGGTTCAGATGAAATCTTGCAGGAGTACAGAGTGAATAATTTAACTGTAACCTGGGAAACTACCATTTTAAATACTTTTCCTAGGAACATTTCTCGCTGAAATAAAAACGGCAAAAGGCACAGAAGCCCACAAAAGCTATGCAAGCATCGCTGCTTTAAGCCCCCGGCTGCACGTTTCCATAGCCGCATCAGGCCCAATATCCACAATCCTTTCTGAAGAGATAGGACGGGGGCAAGAGGATTGTGCCTAACTACCAGGATCCCACAAGACCTGACAATTTAAGCACCTCACTTGTATGACATACAGTGAGCTGGACCAGACACACTTGTGAAATGCCGGGACATCATGAGACACCACGACTAGGCATGCCGCAGGCAGAAGAAAGATAGAAAAGTCCCTTATCCTCAAGGCAATCAACTACGTAGGACCAAATCCCTTCTAGCTCACGCGTAAACGTCCTCTGTGGAGAGGATCCAACCACTGAACACACTTTGAGAACAAAACACATGAATCCAGGTCTGATCCTTCTTACCAAGGCTGGCATTAACCTCAGAAATAGCCTTACTATGTTAAGATTAATATGCACCACCTTAATAACAATCCTTACATCACTCACCCTGAGAATACAATAAACTACAACAAAAATGAGGCAATCGCTCCATTAAAAACACTGAATAAAAAAATAATCCCAAAACACAAAAACGTGGAGTCTTTTTCCTTGGCAAAGGGAGAAGCCTCTGAGATTCTGACTCATTTTACCTGCAAGGCATTTAGGTGCTATGAAAATGGGAGTAAGTATAAAGCTAAAAGACATACGATCATTACATGTATAGGTGAGGAGCCAGTTCCTAACAGATTATTTCATTCCTTTTACTTGTTAGCAGATCTATAAACTTCATGGCTGTTTATGTGCCCATGGCTTGGCCTGGATAAAGGCTCTAAAAGCCTTCCCAATTTTAGAGGTGGGAGAATAAATTGCCCAGGAATCCTAAAAATACACATTGAGCAGCCCTGCTCAAACATCAAGGCCCAGATTCATCCTCTTATTCAAACAACAAATGGGAGCTTTTTATCTTTAAACGCCATGGAAATGTGCCTACCTCCATTCTCTTCACATAGAGGCCTTAGTTAAGTACTTCATTTCGCCTCGGTTTGCTGTTCTCAAGGCAGTCTGAGATGTTAAAACATTTCAGCCTCAGAGCACAGTTAAGAAGATTGAAAGTCAGGTACGTCAGAATCTTAAAAACTCACAGGAATATTCTGAATGGTTGGAAAATGGGCGAGTCTTTGGACTGAAAACTGACAGTAAAGATTGGAAAATAATTATTGGAAGAAGGAGGGGAAACAGAATATTTTCCATCATCATTCCTGTTCGTGTTTTCACTCTGACAAGTCTTCATTTCTGTGTATTTTGAATATACAGAAATAAAGTATCAGCTTTATTTCTCTTTACTTTTAGATCAAATGTGCCTATAAGCCTTCCTCCTACCACCTCACTCCTGGTGTCTACCATTCAGCCTTTCTCCAACTCTTCTTAGGGTCTAATAAAAAAGAGCTGGGATCTGTAAAGAGCAACTCGTCAGGAGAGAGCAGGAAGAGGACAAGGACCATAAATGTTGACTCACCTGTCTTCTATCCGAACCCAGAGGTCATTGAACTGCCTCTGGCGATGGTGTTTGTGCTGCTTCTTGTGCCATTTCTTCTGCCTGCCAAACTCTTCCAACTGGCTAATGCTATCTGGCAACAGGAGGTGAGGAGACAGGCTGTCTTCTTCATCCGTCTGCAGGGGCTTCAGGGAAGGAGATGTCAGTGGGACCTGCTCAGAAAGCTGGACAGCAGGCAGGGCTGTTGCTAAGAACCCTTCTAAGGCTGGACTTGTCTTTGTTGTCCTTGAACTGCAAAACACAACATTTAAACATTTGATGAAGAAGTGAAGGATCGTACAAAGAAAAAGTGAAAGCAGAGGCGTACAATACTTGGTGGGTGCTCCTAGCTGCTAAGAAGGTATATAAGGAGAAGGACTTTTGCTCTGGGACAGCAACTAAAGACAGCAGTGGCATTTCCTAGCAAACTATCAAATAAACACTAAACTGAAAATGGGTGAAAAGACAATTGCTATGCTATTGGTGTTTTTGCCATTTTAATAACTTCTTACAGGCTTTAGAGCCTGCAGTAGGGGTCAACATCAGCTCCCCTGCTGGGCTGAAGGTTAAATGGCAAAACTGTGACTCTGAGGAAAACAGATACTTGAAGAGAAGCTGATCTTAAATTAATGAGATAACACTAGTTCCCTTCTTTTTTTTCAACCTTGGATATCATCCGTGGAAAACAAGTCATTGTTCTAACTGCAATAATAATTGTGCTTGTTCATCCATGTTAAGAGTGGCAACCGGGAAGCCCAGACTGATGATAGAAACATGGTCTGATAGCTAGGCTGCTGAGACGGGATGTGTGAGACCCGAACTCTAGATGTTTTTGTATAATGGAGAAATGAAGCAAAAAAGGGGATAAATGACCTCTCCAAAGCCACCTTGAAACAATACTGCCAGTGCTCTTCACTCCTGTTTGAAATACTGTCACCTCTGGAACTCTGCAGAAAAGGGCCTTCTGTCATTTTAATCTTCTAGAGTTTCACTAATTTTGGAAAAAAGTCAATACAAACTCTCTCCTTTGATATGTGGCCATGTCAGCTTACATTTGTGAGCTAAGATATCTGAAACAAAAATCTAATAAACCGGTACTGACACGAAGTGATTTTTTTTCCCTTGCTTCAATGGAAGTTCCTGTTTGGTCTTAATTGCAAGCGAGGAACTTTCTCTGTCTCTGGGATGGCCCAATGAGTTGTAGGTACAGAAAATGGAAGAGAATTAATAGGCAATATGAAGCTGTGGTCTGTGAAACTATTTCTATTACATGGATGCTATGACTTTTATGACAGAAACAATTAAAGCCACGTGAAAAGTTTTGCCTCCTGAGTGAAACCAGTAAGACATTTTAATGAAAAAGTAATAAAAAATCCTAAACTTCATTGGTGACAATGTACAAAATGTGCAGCAAGTGAAACCACATGTTTCATTTATGGAACATTATGTTCTCTTCCAAAAAAGTCACATCTACTACTAATGGCAGTTTTTTTTTCTTTTTGATTTTTTTTAAGTCCATTACAATAGCAGTCAAGATGATCAGCTCTATTTCCACTGCATCATGTTTCACCCAAAGGTCCTTCCAATAGCTACTGACAATTAATTCTTGCTACTACAAGACTCAACTGGCAAGAACTACAGTAACTTTGTCACTCATAGCCAACATTAATGAAGTTCTTCCGAGATCATATGACAGATACATAAAAGAAAGACACTTGTTTAAACTAATTCTAAAATTCTCACAAGGCTGCTTTCACTAATAAAAGACACAAGAAAAGGCCTTATTTTTCCTATTTTCCGAGTCTTCAGACTCTCAGTGAGTCCTTTTCAAATTAATTCATACACCATGCTCTATTTTATATCACAGAGAGACCAGCTGCTTCTGGACGGTTTCCCCCATTAAGACTTTCTTCTATGATTCATGTTGAGGATGAGTCTTCATCAGTCCAGCAACTTTCTTTGAGAGATCCTGGAGCTCTCCAAAGACTTTCACACTTTTTAGGCTGTGACAGAGGCTCATGGCTGAAGCAAAACAATCTCCAGGCTCATGTAAAAGGAAAGGCTCTCATAGGTTTGTACTGGGTGGGTCCCTCAGGCCACATCAGACAATTCCTAATTTTTATCCAACCGTGACGGTGGATGTCAACATGCATTTGCAGCCATTTAGGCAGGCAGGAAGGACCAGGATCAAGCATCTAGAAACACAATGTGGGTAACTGCAATGGTGGCAGGCAGCAATAGGTGGCAAGAAAGTCTCGGCCTCATCCCCTCCTGCACTTATGCCAAAGCAATGGGGGAATACAAGCTGGTTGATACTGCTTAAAGAAAGTTCATGCTGGTACTGCTCCGGATACCTCTGTTCTTCACTGTGTGGTGTGAATTCACCCATGTCTTCCTGCAACCAAGCCATCCATCTGCACCCCAGGGAGAAGAGCACTACCTTGGCCACAAGGCTGTGATGGGCAGAAGTATGTTAAGAACGCAAGAGCACGGAGCAGATGTGACAGAGCCCAAAGGCGACAAGCCATGTGACCATCACAGCCAGAATCGAGCTGTTGCCAAGATTTCTGTTGCCATTGACTTTCTTCTTCTTGTCATCAAAACTGTGCCTCATGATCAGATCAGTCCGTAACTCCCTGAGATGCTCAAGGTAGGAGCAGCCCCCATGTCAGCCCACATCTGCCAGCTCAAGGCTGGGGCTGCCATTTGGTTCCTTGAATGGTCTTAGAGATATCTAAACACATACTTTCCACCTTTTAACACCTACTATTTTGTTACACATGTTTACCTTACTCGGAGCTCCTAGTAAACTGGAACCAGTAGAGAGGTGTTTTTATGGGTTGAGATTTTAGAAACCACTTAAGACGACTGGCAGCTCACTTCTTATTAAAATTAATGAGTTTGGGCATCAAAATCCCAGTGGTGGCTTTGAAAACTTCTAGCTTAATTGTTTCCACTACCATCACATGAGCCACAGGTTGTAAACTCAATATTTCAGAACATTCTTTGGGAAGAGGATAAATAAACACTGAAGAAATGTTAAAATGCTGTAACCTAAAGAGGGTTATAAACTAACCACTTGTACTTTAGAGGTGGTGCATGGGGAATAGCTCTACTGTGGCAACTGCATATTACATTTGGTTGATACTTGTTCCATTATTCCTGTACTACTAATAATTACTTCCAAGACCTAGGAGGGACTGTTGAAGGCTGTATGTTGATGCATACTTGCTTCTTTCAAAAAAATGATTTTTTAAAAAGATTGATTTAATACATCTAGAGACCTGGTTGTTTTCAAATCTGATCATCATCCTACAGACATTCAACCAGAAGTAAAATAAAAATTTTAAAACCCACAGAATATGGGTATTTAATCCAAATTTTTTTGGATTAAATTTTGTAAGAATATGTAAAGATTTAATTCAAAGTAAGGTAGACTTCCTATCAGAAGATATCCCTTCCACTGATTTCAGCAAAAATTTCATTAATACAAAGGGTCTGAATTTATTAATATGCTGGATTCCCGCC